ACACCAGTATATAGTACACACCAGTATATAGTACACATCAGTATATAGTATACACCAGTATATAGTATACACCAGTATATAGTACACACCAGTATATAGTACACACCAGTATATAGTACACACCAGTATATAGTACACACCAGTATATAGTACACACCAGTATATAGTACACACCTGTATATAGTATACACCAGTATATAGTACACACCTGTATATAGTATACACCAGTATATAGTACACACCAGTATATAGTACACACCTGTATATAGTATACACCAGTATATAGTACACACCTGTATATAGTATACACCAGTATATAGTACACACCAGTATATAGTACACATCAGTATATAGTATACACCAGTATATAGTACACACCAGTATATAGTACACACCAGTATATAGTACACACCAGTATATAGTACACACCAGTATATAGTATACACCAGTATATAGTACACACCAGTATATAGTACACACCAGTATATAGTACACACCAGTATATAGTACACACCAGTATATAGTACACACCAGTATATAGTACACACCAGTATATAGTACACACCAGTATATAGTACACACCAGTATATAGTACACACCAGTATATAGTACACACCTGTATATAGTACACACCAGTATATAGTACACACCAGTATATAGTACACACCTGTATATAGTACACACTAGTATATAGTACACACCAGTATATAGTACACACCAGTATATAGTACACACCTGTATAATTATAATACACACCAGTATATAGTATAGACCAGTATATAGTACAGACCTGTATATAGTACACACCTGTATATAGTAAACACCAGTATATAGAACCAGTGTATAGAACCAGTGTATAGTACACACCAGTATATAGTACACACCTGTATATAGTACACACCAGTATATAGTACACACCTGTATATAGTACACACCAGTATATAGTACACACCAGTATATAGTATACACTAGTATATAGTACACACCAGTATATAGTATACACCAGTATATAGTACACACCTGTATATAGTACACACCAGTATATAGTACACACCAGTATATAGTACACACCAGTATATAGTACACACCAGTATATAGTACACACCAGTATATAGTACACACCAGTATATAGTATACACCTGTATATAATACACACCAGTATATAGTACACACCAGTATATAGTACACACCAGTATATAGTACACACCAGTATATAGTATACACCAGTATATAGTACACACCAGTATATAGTACACACCAGTATATAGTACACACCAGTATATAGTACACACCAGTATATAGTACACACCAGTATATAGTACACACCAGTATATAGTACACACCTGTATATAGTATACACCAGTATATAGTACACACCTGTATATA